TGTCATAAAGGCTTAGTCATGTCTCTTGACCAAGCAATGAGCTGGTGCCCTGACAAGTACCTGCATGCATGTGCCTTGTGCTTGCCATCCAACTCTTTCCCATCCACCACCACCTCATCTCACCTGTCCCTGCTACACAACCCTTTTCAATATATTCAGTGCTCACAATGGACAATACAATGACCTCAGCCAACAAAGACACTGTGAAGCCCACAAAGCCCACAAAGCTCAGGCTTCTGGTTGATTGGTTTGGTCACAGGGATGGGGGCAGGTTGAGCACCTGCACTGTGAACAACACCAGCAGATCAGCTGGCAATGAGGCTGCTTCCAATGACAAAGACTGGGGTGACAAGGATGGGCCAGACCTGGGAGAAGGGGAGGAGGATGACAAAGATCTCAAGCTTGCACTTGATGAGGAGGCTGCCCATGAGAGAACTGCCCTTGAGGGGATAGCACTGCAAGTGGTAAGTATTTTCTGTTTGCATCATCTTGAGTAGTGTCAGCCTCACATATATATGCTGATCAATCTTTCAGTTGTTGGCAACCATGGATGGCAGCTTGGGGCTCACAGTGAAAGCCCCTGCTGAGATCCTGCCAATGGTGCATACTCAGTGCACTTGCAAGCAGAGGGATGTCAAAAGGTGTCTCTACAAGTACCTGCCCCATTGCCATATGGAGAAGCATGGTGTGAAGACCATCTGCAGCTGGGTGATCTGCCTGTTCAGATGCACCAAACCTGCCATGATGGGATGTGGCCACTGTGTCAAGGACACCCACTGTTGTGGGTGGATTTGCAAAGGAAATGCCCTCTTCTCCTGGAAGATGGCAGACTTGAGGAGCATCTTGCATATGCTCTGCAGCCTGATCATCTGGACACTTCTGACCATTGTGGCCTTCTATGGCTTCCAAGGTGCATACTTTTACTTACCTTAACTTTGTATAAACTGCTAACAATATATCATGGTAGGTGGGAAGTACCTGTGGATGCATATCAAAATCAAGTTCATGCATGGCTTGCTCATGATCAGATGGGTGGGACCTGCCAATGCAACAACAATTGATGGGGCTCTTGCCAACTCAACAGTGACTCTGGCATAGGTTTTGTGATACTAGTATATCCCTGCATGCTGATACCTTTCTTTTTCTGTAACTGCACTGTATTCTGGGCCTGTGATGCATAAAGAATCAATTGGTTGTTCATTTTGTTAATGGCAACCACCTCTTGAGCAGGAGGTGGTTGCCATTGCCAGTCATGCAAATGAAAGTAATAAAGCATGGATATATATATATTGGTCCAGTGTAACTCAAGGTATGATAAACTCTTCCCAAAGCTTTCCTGCCCCTTACCCTGTCAACCTGAACCTAACCTGAATGATACCTTACCTGTAACCCCGGAGCCGACAACCTTGACTGAGCCTGAAGGACCCTTACCCGTGTAGGGGAGACCTGTGGCATCCGGCTCAGACGCGGCTCGGGATCGGCCCTCGGCACGGCACGGCAGTGCACGCGCAATCTGCTTCCGTCTAGCCGAGTGGGATACGGTACTGCGCTCTCTCGGTGCACAGCATAACTTTACAGGTCTGGGGCAAATTGTGTGGAGAAGCTACACAATAATAAAGCGGGTAGCCATGTACGGAATCCTGAGAAGCACGGAGTGTATGCTTCCTTTTGAGGGCCGTGCAGCTGGCCTAAACGGGTCTCCACAGCATCTTTGCAGCCACCCAAAAAGGCGGTGAAAAGGCCTGCTTCTGAGGATGAGCAAGGCGTTTCGGTAGCAGGCAATCTGAAAAGCCCCACCGCCCCTCCCAGATCGAATCTGGAAAAAAGCTCTGGAAGTTTCAAGGGTACTTCTGAGAAGCGACAGAAGCAACCGGCCCGGTTTCTGGAAGCTACGGGAAGGGGTCCGATTGTATATGTTACATATACAGATATATAAAAAAAATTGTCACGAAATCGTGCTCGACAGAGCTGTGCATGAGCGGCGTCGAAGGTATATTATGAATAATCTCAGGCGCTGGCTAGAGCAGTTGTCTTCCCTCCCATCTACTTTGCCCTGCTGGCAGCAGGCTTCCAACTAGCACGACCTTGTTCTCTCACTTTGCTGCTGGTCAGCAACCCATCTTACAATTACTATCAACTCTAGTCATCTGTCAATCCATCATGCGACACCACACACTCTTCTTTCTCTTCCTGCTCGCTACCACGAGCATCCCGACTCTGACGCGCGCGGCGCCCATCAACTACGTGGCGGCCAGGGGTGCTCAGCCGGCATTGTACAGCCGCGACTTGAGCAGGTCGGCGGCCAGTCCTCGGGCGCTTGACAACCCATCCACCGACATCCTCGATCGAGACGAATCCGACAGCGACGTATTGGAAGCACGCACGGGGGACGGTGTACGTGATTTTCTCACGCACAACAGCAGGAACCCGCCGCCGCCGCCGCCCAAGACAAGATGGAGGAGCTTGATCCCGAACTCTTTCCGCGGAAAAGCACGCGGGGGTGGCAATTCCGACTCTAAGGCTGGGAGCACGCACGGGGCTACAACTCAGCTGGCGTCCGACCCGCGTTCGGCGCACGGCGCTCCCCACCCGCATACCACTCAGCCAAAGCAAGCTCTTACTCAGCCGGCGCCCAAGAATGGAGGGTGGAACTGGAACGTTTTCTCGAGGACGAAGCCGACGACGCCAGAGAGCCACCCGCCTGCAACTCAGCCGGAGCCCAAGAAAAGAAGGTTGCCGACACTCAAACAATTGGGACAGCTCATGTTACCCCACCCTTCCCTGGAAGCTTTCCCTCAAA